GATTACGTCGGGATCCCGTTTCCCGGTGGATGTGATAAATTATTTATTATTTTGTGACGTTAAGCGCATCAGTACATTAAAAATATTTAGGCAACTAATGAAGAAGTTAACACAAATTAATTAATTTAATAGTTTTATTATGATTTGAATTAATGTTATTAAACAACCTAACTATTTAAGTAACAAGACAATTTAAAAAAAAAAAATATAGCACTACTAGCACTACTAGCACTACTAGCACTACTAGCACTACTAGCACTACTAGCACTAATAGCACTAATCCATAGTGTAGATTAGAGCAAGACTACATTCAGGTATGCGCACAAATGAATCCTTGTGTGTTCAATTTAACACCATTTTTGTTGGATGGGCTACAGCTCCCATTTTGATTCGGGAGCCTCTGGAGTGCTTGATTTTCTTAACCTGCCCCCCCCCCCAACCACCGTTTCTGTTCCGGGGCGATTTAGTGCATATGACAGGGACATTGCAATTTCAAGGTTCGTTAATTCCTGGTTTCACTGTGCCAAAAAAGCACTATATATATTTTTAGCGATCTCGGGGAAGGGGGAGCAAAATCCATCCGCAGGAGGGGGGGGGGGGTAACAGTACAATGTCTCACTGACTCTCACTACGCCAGTGGCGGATTTGCGGCCAATTGCTATATTTTTAAAAAATATTTTTTTAAGTGTTTGGCCGGTGCGTGTGGAGCGGAAAAATGTTGGCCAGCCCCAGGAGGTACTAACCTAGCCAGTGGCTATATAGTCACATCGACTTGGGTAGACTACTCACCACAGCCCCAGGAGGTACTAACCTAGCCAGTGGCTATATAGTCACATCGACTTGGGTAGACTACTCATCACAGCCCCAGGAGGTACTAATCTAGCCAGTGGCTATATAGTCACATCGACTTGGGTAGACTACTCACCACAGCCCCATATAAAGGACGTCGCTAGTGAGCGGGGGAAGAATTAGATTTGGACCTACCTTGTGCCAGTTTTGCCATAGAATCAACATAGAGAGGTAAGTTTATGTAAGGTGTGTGCAGAAAGAAGCTTTAGGGACGTTCTTGTGAGTGATAGTTGCGTTAGGTAGACGTTAGTAGTTTAGAAGACTACGGTAAGTATCTAATTGGGGCCTAGGATAGACCACATGGTGTAGGTGATTTCTTTATACATTTCAGGAATAGTCACCCTTTATTGTCGTCGACACTAGAAGCATGTGGCCGTGTGACGGAATATGAATAGATCCATACAGAGTTGTCTCACGTGTACACTGCATATGTCCTCAGAATAATTTATAGTTATATGAAAGCCATTCACATAATTTATCATTAGATTTATATCTTTTAGGATAGTTGGCAGTTATAATATCATGCATATCTCGTAGTGCATTTGCTGTATATTTCCTATTGTGTCATAAAGTGTATTTAGATAATAAAGTAGCCTTAGCTATTTTAAGTTAAATTGAGGACTTCGTTTTGTTTATTGTATGGTTATTGTGTTTCCTTGGGCACATGAAAACAATGTGGTGTCAGAGTTATTGTAGAATTTAGACCCAAGTGTCACTAAGCATAAAGGAGCTCGTGACACCTGCCATACGGCGTGCAGAGATCTATTCTGGCTATCAGCAGTGAAAAGCAACAAAAAAAAAAAAAAAAAAAAAAAAAAAAAAAAAAAAAAAAAAAAAAAAAAGAAAAAAAAAACAAAAAAAATAATTTAGACCCAAGTGTCACTAAGCAAAAAGGAGCTCGTGAAACCTGCCATACGGCGTGCAAAAATCTATTCTGGCTATCAGCAGTGAAAAGCAACAAAAAAAAAAAAAAAAAACGCGAATAAATAAAATCACTACCAGAATACATGCTTCGATATCTAGAAACCAAATGATGACCAGATTCAGGGTTCATCAAAAGACTTTCCTCAGCCTACCATTGATACTGATTCTCCCGATACAAGCAGCTTGCATTCTTTTCAACAAATGGTGAAGAAAATCGAAGAGATTGACGTGAAAACACACGTTATAGACTTGGATGTTTTGGAAACAGAAATGTCTGCTATCAATATATCAATGTTGATTCAAACCATGATACTGTAAGTGTAATGGTAAATGACAAAAACTGGAACATTTTATCAGATGCTTCGCTCTGCAATGTACCAGTTCCAGATTACTTTCGGTTTGAAATTATTAAAATATGGAGTAACTCGTTTCAGAACGGATTATAAGCGTATTGACAAGGCAAGATGCGAAATTTAAAGGAGGTGTTCGCCAACTAACAAAATAATGTTTCTTTTATTCAAAGCAAAATCTGGCATTTCGTGGCCACAACAAAGACGAATCTTCACTGAAACTGTCTTGAAATGGTTGAGATGCTATCTAAAATGACCCAGTGCTAAAAGAGCTCCAAATGAGACTAAAGAGGAGTACATCTACAAAAAAAGCATCCGTGTCTTACCTTTCAACAAATAACCAAAATGAATTTATAAATGTCCTTGCAAATCATGTGAAGGAGATTCTTTTGATGGGTATAAAGGCTGCGAGGTTTTTTGGAATTATTTTCGAAAGTACACCTGATGTCTGAAATGATCAGATATGTGAAAATCCACAATGGGAAAGTTGAAGTTAAAGAAGTGTTTCTTGCATTTTTACCGTTAAGAGGGGAAAAAGCTGATGACCTCAGTTCTGAAATTCTTACAATTTAATCTAAAACGTGACTAGAAATAATGATGTTACGATGATGCTGCCACAATGTCTGGAGTCCATGGAGGTGTTAAGGCTATTCTGAAAAGAAATAATAAAAAAAATCAATTTTTAATGGATGTGTGGGCCACTCACTTAACTTGTATGGTCAACACTCTTTTGCAGAAAATGCTTCATGTATTACATTTTTGGAACTCTTGAAATAATATTTTCCTTCTTTGCTAAATCCACTCATCGATGGAATATTGTAATTGAACACAGTGGAATGTCGTTGAAAAGAATTTCAGCGTTTGAGTGCTCATCATGCTGCTGTTAAAACAGTTAAAGATGAGTTTGATAAATGTGTGGCTGTTACGCACTGCCTTCTCTTGTGAGAAATTAATCTCCTATTTTAAATGTATGGCTCGTTCAAAACAGTGCATAACAAAAGGACGATACCATATAGAAATACATTAACAAAAATACGACACCTAAAACAGTACCAATTACAATTGATAAGATTTAATTTAGTAATGATACAATTATAAAATAAATGAAATATAATTACAAATCATCTACTTACAGTATGGAAGATCTTGTACCGGTACACAGTTAGTACAATGTGAAAATGAAAAATGATGAATGCGAATAACACATAAGTACACATACAATAATACACGTCTCGTGAAGGTAAAATATCTATCAATCTCCGTCCCTCCGTATCTGTCAATCCCTTATATATGTGGATCTACCGACGCGTAAGCTCTGCCTTCCAGAAGCTACTCAGCATTTGTTTACATTTCTAGAAAAATCGCAAACATTCTACAAAATACTAGGAGACAGTCTAACCATGTTTAATTGGAAAGGCGGTAGTCAACAAGATACATCAAACGAATATGCCACGGCCATCTATGAACGGAGCGTGTGTGCTAGGGTTCAAGAAAATTTCACGCACGGGAAAAAAGTGTCATACATAACAGTGGTGGTGTTTGAAGCTCTGTGTAATCCTCTTGAAAATTTGGATACAAAGGGTAAAGCACAAGGTACCTTTGGGCTAATCTACTTGAGGAAGTTATTCTTACACAGCAGTATCTGCAGACTAAAGGCTTACTCTTGACAAAGTGGTGACCATTACAAAGAAAATTTTTTCTGCACGAGAAGCGTTGTCACTTGGTGGAACATGCTATTGAAAAGGCACTTTTAAAATAAGACCAATATGGAATTTCGGTAGAGAGAAGATTAAGGTTGAAGACGAGAATAGCAATAAAACAATTAATAGATGCTGGACTCTTTCAGCGAGATGAAAACAGTAAGGAGATGCTGGAGTGTATTGATCGCTTTCATTCTGAACTCCAGATCAGATCATCAGCGATCAAGGAAGTAGCAGATATGTTTGGGGCTGTTCAACCCAAGAGTCTACTATCAGCTAGTGAAGAAGAGTTTACGGTGTCCGTTCCAAAATTAACTTCTTTCTATGATGAGTTATCAGAAGATAAACTTTTAAAAGAAATGCCAAGGCTTAGAAGACATCTAAAGGCAGCTGATATTGAATTTCACAAAGTCATTGACTGGTCAGTATTTGATGTTTTGAAATTCATAGCTGAATGGGACTTCCTAGAATCCCTTCCAATACTCTCGCCAAGCCTTTAATTTGTTCTTTCGATATGTGTGTATGTAGCTTCATGTGAGCAGAGCTTTTCAAAACTAAGGCTTATCAAGAAATATTTATGATCCACCATGGGATAGTCTATGCCTTCTGATGTAGCTCTGCTATCAATTTGAAGTTAATGGAAGTGATAAATTGGAGGACATTGATTTTGTTAAGGTTTGCAGCTTTGAAGAAAATTTTTAATAAAGTAAATTTAATGTAAAAACAACTATAAAATAACGTTGTTACAGTTTTTAAATTCATTGACCTCATGACCTTCGATTTATGTGTTTTTGTTCTAGTCATTTTTTATACTGAGGACTTATTTTAACAAGATGAAATCCATCATGGAAGTTAGGGTTGTGGGGGAAAAAAAAGGGGGGGGGGTGACACCATGAATGAGTTTACCGCACCGAGTGACACTAACCCTAGCTACGCCACTGAACCTATCTACACCATTGAATAGACGAATTGTATCAAAATAATAAATTTGTGTTATATTTGAATTTATTAAAAACATTTATTTTAAAAATTATTCTGAATTTTCTAAAATTTATATTGCCAAACCAAAATGTAAATTAACAAAAATTGGTCTCTACCCTTAAAAGTTAATAACAACCTGTTGAATAACCCGGAAGTGACCTCAGCATATGCAAATGAGGGTGTTTCCGCTGCCAAAATGGCGAAGACTTACGATTACTTGTTTAAGTTACTTTTAATAGGGGACTCTGCAGTGGGTAAAACCTGTATTTTATTTAGGTTTTCAGAAGATGCGTTTAATTCAACATTTATATCAACTATAGGTAAGTAATACATATTATTTCATATATTATGTCTCAATTTTGTCATGATTACATTTTTCGGGATATTGCGACGACATCCTGCCTCATTTAATAGCACTCCTGCTGTGTTGTCGCGTATTTTGTGGGCTAGTCTAGTACTTGACATATGAGTCAGCCATACTGTAGTACGAGTATTTTAGGTTATCTCCCTTTGAATTTAGGATCCTTGTTAAGCCAGGTCGGAATAATGAGTTGTTTGAGAAGTTGAACTGAAACTACACAAAATAAATAATAGCCTCTCAGATATCTTAGACTCAGTAGTAGTGAAGTAAGAGAATGCTTAATCTAAAAAGAAAAAGAACAATTTTTCAGTCTTAGTTTTAATTTTAAAATAGTTGGCTTAATATTATAGGTAGGTAATCTACCACTTGAGCTTCCATTATAAAAAAAAAAAATTAAAAAAAATCATGTATTGTCTGCGACAACATTGTCGCTCCTGTTTGAAGTGCTAAGGCTAAACTAAACTCTATCTAATTTTAATCTTATGACTTATTGTTTTATTGATAATAAAATAAAATTCTTCTATTTATCCAAATAAATATAAAATAAATTTAAATGGAAATGTTTTTTTTATGACATTGTACATTACATTTACATGTATAAAAGTAAAAGAAAAGATTTTAAAATAGAAAAAAAGTAAACAATTTAATAATTGTATCAAATATAAAAATTTAAACAATTTAATTTAAATTTAATGTAAAAGAAAAAGCCTGAGTTTAAAATATATTATCATCTCAACAAAAACTATTGCAAATATGAAGGGAAAATATCATAGCCTGTGACCTGTGGCTTATGGTCTTTACTTTTCATATTTGTGTGGACCGTGGACGTGGACATCAGCGTCATTTGGCTTGACAAAATTTTTTTGAACAACAGAGTGTTGTTTCCGTTCTATTCTGGTTTATGTTTGTTTAAGTTTAAGTACGGTATAAGGCTTATACTTAGCTGTTGTTTTAAAAATAAAGTTATTCAATGACCAGAATTAAAGATTGGGCTAAGTCTGAAAATTAAAAAATAATAGCTTTGAGCTAAAGCAGTAAAGCTTAGAGGCAAGAAAGGAATATACATTTTTTTACATATTTTTTTTTTTAAATAGGGATTACAAAAGGAAAATGAAAAAATAGAGATAGGTTATTTAGAAGACAAAGGTAACTAAAGTAAAAAATTTAATCAAAATATAAATAGATGATGACATTTAGTAGCTGCTGAGCCTACTACTACTACAACTATTCATTGTTTACCATATCTAATCAGGGTTTAGATAAATTATATCATTAAGGGCATTATTTTATTTCCAAATATATAATTCACTGTTTTGAAGTTTGATAATTATTAATTATAAAAAGTGTTGGACTGCGATAAAGCTTTAAAATAGATTAATAAGACACGAACAAATTGTGTCAATAGAACAATATGAGTTAGCTTTAATAATAATTATACATTATACACAATTAAACGTTTCGGCGCATGCCTTCATCAGTACAAACAAACAAAACACATTTAAATAAGTATAAATTAAATTTACATAATATCAATATACATATCCTACCTAAAACAGAAAAAAATATAGCAGAGGGTGCTAAAACCAGACAAAAACAAAGTAAAGAGAAGTAGAAAGGAAGTGATTTTAACATAATTGGAAAAGCCAAACCGGAAAAAGACATGGCAGCTAAGTAAAACTATGGATTTGGTTCAATCCATATGGAGACAACGTACCAAATCTAGTTATTAATTTGTTCTCCATATAGATTCTATCTGCAGTGTTACTAGTATAGAGTATACCAGTAACTACAATATCTGAGATACCATTATGGTTAGTAGGGGTGTGCCGGATCCGTTTTTTCCAACCGGATCCGGATTTTCTTATGCGAAATCCGCCGGATTCGGATTCCGGAATAATCCGGATTCCGATTTCTCCCGGATTCCGGATTTTGGTACTATTGGTAGATACTTCGGTCAGTCAAGGTGGACTACTACTTTTTGTGTATGGGAATTTGCAATCGGCGCCAAAAAATCCGAGTTTTTAATTTTCCGATGTGCGTGTCTATTTATTATTAAATTAGTACTTTCGATATATATTTGAGTTCCGTTCCATTTGGATAAGTGTCTTACGAGAGACGCCATGTTTCTACGCGTTCGCAGCAGGTCATGCAGCTCGCTCAACCTAATTTCGCCATGGGGTTGGCCACGCCCCCCTTTTTAATGGCGGAAGTTGACGATACTTAGGAAATATTAATATATTATCACTATTTACATCAAAATAATTGATAACTTGTGTTTCAGAATGCATTTAAACTCATTTAAACTGGAATGTTTTAATTTGAGCTTTAACAACCCGGTAGAATCCATATTATAAATGATCAGAATTTACCGTGTGCAACACGTTGTCATTGGCAACCATTCACAGCCACTTGCATAACTGTATCGTAGTACTACCTCAGAGTTTCATTCATAAGAGTTTGCCGTGTGCAAAAACTATTAAACCATTGGTCAGGGAAAGCTTTAATTAATTATTCATGTGCCAAAGTTGAAAGTTTAAACTAAGTCTAAACAGTATTTTAGTGATAAGGCAGGGAATGCGTTGCCTTATATAAACTATATAGTCATTGCGCATGACGGGATTGGTGGAATGAGATCACAGAATGTGGAGATGCAGTCCATGTTAAAAAATGACAAACCAAGTCGTACTTTAAAAATTCATAACTTTAAAACTACAACAGCTAAAAATATGATTTTGGTGTTATAATTCTTTAAAAAATTACATCTTTTCAACTATGCCATTGGTTTATTTTTACAAAAAGTTTAAATTTTCTTATCAAAGTCCCTACACTATTGGCCACTATTAGCGGTGCTGACTCTAGCCTCTGGTATGTACGGAATATTAAACATTAAACAAGCTCAACGCTCGAAACAATCGATTAATGTATCGTGATCGTGTGGAATTCGGGAAAGAGAATTACTTTTATTTCAGATTATGATCCGGTGAGTCACAAAATCTGGCAAATTCCGAAATCCGGTATATTCCGGAATCCGGTTGTTCCGGATACATGTAAATCCGGCGGAACCGGATTTCACAGGACAGTGCAAAATCCGGCGGAACCGGATTCCGGCACACCCCTAATGGTTAGGGCTATTGAAATGTTTGGAGACCGGACAGAGAGCATGTTTATTTATGTTATAGAGGTGCTCTCTGAAACGGTCCCAAATCCATAGTTTTACTTAGCTGCCATGTCTTTTTCCTGTTTGGCTTTTCCAATGATGGAAATGAGGGAAAATTTTGTTTTGCCCATTTACTTACACACACCCTGTATAGGCCCGGGTAACTGGATCAGACATAAAAAAACAGAACTAACAGTGACTAAACAGGACTAGGAACAAAACACTACAGGGGTAAATAAAAAAAATTAATTTTAATTGAAAAGATTAATTAATGTATTAAAGAAATAATTATATAACTTTTTTTAGTCGCCCCAAATTGGCCAAGGTTTACCTTCTTGATTTTGATATTCCTGCACAACAATTGTTACTTTTTTACCAAAGGTCTCATATATCTTTTTTCTGACTTCTGGGCGACCTGTATGGGCATTGGCTAATAATAATTGCTGGCATGCAATATCTCTCTTAGTTCCAAATACTTGGGTGGTTATAATGAAGCAGTGAGTTTAAGGTGTTGTGAAAACCTTCAAACAATTTGTAGTTTTGGGTGATTGCTCAGCAGCAGGCTCATAAATGATTCCATATTCTACTTGGAAAGAGGGCGATGATCTTTCTGCACCTCCTTCGATGTAGGTTGAGAAGAAATATTTTAAAACTTCATTGTATTTATCATCATATGGGAATTTTGTAGCTAGCTGGTCAAGACAGTTCTTATATATGGTATTGGGACAAAGGGAGAGAGCAGGTAGTGACTTCAGTTTCAGCTTCATGTCAATATCAGACACTTACACTTCCTTTAACCCAAAACTGTGGATCTTTCTAATAACACACTGCCAATGGTCTCAATAGAACCCTTTAACTTCTGCTTGGTAAAAAGCAATTTGAACAGCAGACATGCTTACTTTTTCAAAGTCCAGTAGAATCTTTTTTAGTGTTTATTGTTGCATTGTGCTTTTTGAGGGTTAGATTCATGGCAGTGTTTTGGGATATTTACAATATTTTCTCCCTTTGTTCTCAAGAATGCCCTGCATTTGTTGTGAAAGTAAACTCTGCATCTCCAAGTTATCACTCAACTCCTATTTTTCCTATATTTGTATAATTACATCCTTGGGTACAGTAGAACTTGATTTCCGTTTTGTGTCCGAGAAAATTCCATGATTAATAGATCTGCTAAAATAAATTAATAATTAATTTCACAATTAAATCAATAATACTAAACTAACTGGTAGATAATATGGATAAAATAGGATAAAATGGATATTGTAAGATAATATTAAAGACACTCTTCCCTCTGCATAGGTAAAAAGAGTTTTAGACCCCACTTTTCCCAAAAAGAAAAAGTTAAAGAACCCAAAAATTAATTAATTAGTGTACATTTATGAAATAACAGTAAAAAAAAATGTGTCACTGGTTTTCACCACTGTTTAGCAAACCCTGGGGGGCCTAATTTCCCTTGGTCAGGGCCTCATGAAATAACCAACCCTAAATTTAAGAAAAATGTAACTGTTGTCTTCAAGAAGTGTATTTGTTAGAATTTGATGTAAGGCACCTGGTGAAAACATAGTGTCAAGGGTGCTGAAAATCGAAAACATTCTAGGAACCACGGGCATAGACGAACAAAGTTAACTTAATAAGCGTTTCGGGTGTCGTTTAGATGGGCTTCAAATGCCAGTGGTGGACTAAATATTACTGTTGTTACTGTACTACTAGTGTTTGCAATGTGAGCAGTTTCCTCTGGTACAATGTTAAGATATGATGGTGCATTGTTCATTATAGAAATTTAGTTATTTTTACAAAAGTCTTATTTTGTATTGTGATATAAATGATTTCAACAATCAAATATGTTTACTTATGAAACCATTGATGCCAACAACTTTCCTGTGAGCTTCTTCACTGGCCAACTATTTCATTGACACACTCCTCTGCATCACATTCCTAGACAAGTAATTTTGTTGAGGAAAGAATAATTCCCCCCCCCCCCCCCCCCCTTTTTTTTTTTTGTGTGTGCACAAGGTTTCAATTTTTGGGAAAGTAGTATGGTGCTTGCTTTTGTTTTTTTCATGCAGTTATTTTAATAATGATTTGCCCTAATAACCAATACATAGCTCCATTATTATGATTAATTATGGAATAATTGAACAAAAAACCTATATGTATAGATTTATGTAGCAAATAAATAAATAAATAATTAGTGGTTACCGTAAATACTTGCATTATAAGCCGAATTTAGAACTATAAAATACAATACTGAAAGCAGGGGGTCGGCTTAATGCGAATAAAACAAAATGGACTCAAAGACAGACACTAATGCCAATTTTCCAGCCACATCGTTAATCATTAGTTGTGAACAACTTATGAGCAGAAGTTCAGATATTATTATAGCAAACAATGTGGAAAGAGCAGAACATGTTTTTGTGTCATTCCAAAAGGTAAACAAACTGGTATGTAACATAAAAGTAAGCATTTGACATCTTTACAGCAACAAATATGAAGTAAAATTAGACAATTGTTTGGTCGGCTAATATGTGGGTTTTTGCAAAAACTGGCCATTTTAAAGCAGTTTTAGAGGGGTAGGCTTATATGCGATTTAGGCTTATATGCGAGTATATAGGGTAGTTAAATTATCAACATCAGATTATTATGAGTGGCTGCATAGACAGTTATAAGCCAACTTACTTATTGGTTTATTGCTATTCAAAACCTTGCTGTTTGACATATAGGTTTCAGCATAGGAATAATATATTCTAAATATGTTCTTTTTAAGGATGGCTCCTCTATTATGAATTTACCTCAAAGTCTTGTTGTATCCATCTGCAATAAAAAGGTCTTAGACCTTCAAGAAAAAGATATGTTTTCTTCTACATAATTTGAGGGCCCACGATCAATGAATTGATCATTTTGGTTTGGAGTGTGGGGAAGCATAATCAAGTAATGTTTTCTTTGTAAAAGGATGTTAAAGAATTAACCCCAGTATCACAATGAACATGATGTAGGTGTTGCTTGCATTGTGTGGATCAACTCATTTTGGGATTCTACTAGTGTGGATCAACTCATTTTGGGATTCTATTACAAATTTTCATTTAGCATTTCAAAAATAAAAATGTTTGTTCCACTATGCTATTATCCACTGTTAGTTTTGACCAAAGACTTTAAATCGGTGTTTCCCAGCGGGGGGCCCACGCCCCACAGGGGGGAATTTGATTGTTTAGGGGAAATTCGAAAATGAGCGGTCTAGAATTTGAAAACCAACCGTCTTCTATGATTTAACTTGCATTTTAAAAGGAGAATCGTTTAAGTCTCAATTTAAAATAAGCGTTCTTTAAAAATTTACTTACTATGTTTCCTCACCAATTTCCTGGTGATCTTCTTCCAAAAACTTATCATTTAAGTTAATTCAATGAACAACCCAATTTTTTTAATATTAAAAATTATGTATATGATACATGAGGGGGGGGGGGCATATGGATTTTAGAAAGGCTTAGGTGGGTAATGGCACAAAAAAGGTTGGGAAACACTGCTTTTAATGCTTTTTATTCACTGCAGGCATAGACTTCAAGATTCGGACCATAGAACTAGATGGCAAGAAGATCAAGTTGCAAATATGGTAAGGAATAAGAGTGGGTTAGTATACAGTATTAAATAGAAATTTGTCGTAGACATAGGACAGAAGCATGTTTTGTACATTCGATAATAAAATGAGTGTGTCTTCTACATTCTATAAGAGTGTATCATAGACATATCTGCCTGTCCATCTGAAAGCATGGGGATACTGTTCTGTATGGCCTGTGATTGAAGTGTGCCTTGTATATCTGATAGACGTGTGACTTGTGTGTCTGGAAGTGTGCCTTGTATGAGTGATAGAAATGATTTGAAGCATATCTTTGCTCCCTGTACTATAAATTTAAACCAGAAATTTATGTCATTTTTCTTTTCATCTATTTTACATTCCATCTTTTTGATGTAGGGACACAGCTGGTCAAGAAAGGTTCAGGACAATCACAACAGCATATTACAGAGGTGCTATGGTAGGTACTATTTCACTTGGACAAATCTATATCTACTAGCACACCTACCAAGCACAGCAGCATATTATACAGGTGCTATGGTAGTAGGTACCATTTCACAAGGACACATCTATAGTCTATCCACTAGCTCACCTACACAAACAGGAATATCTTAAAGAGATGCTAGGATAGTACTATTTCACTTGGACAAATCTATAATGTATCTACTAGCACACTTACCGAACACAAAATAAGAGAGACGATAAAATGAAACAGAATAGCTCCTTATATTGCCATGATATCTAATAAATTAATTATCCAACTATTGTGCCAACCCAATGTCTTGTTAGCATGCCACAAGACATGAATAAAACATGAGGATTTGTCTGCCATGCTTGTGAAGACTGGACCTGGTGGACCACGCCAAAGAGATCCTTCCATGATATCACAAGGTGCAGCAAACGTGACATGGAATGCATAAAGAGCAAAGTGAGACACTAACACTGCTGGTCATCCACTGCATCCTTGTTTATTTCCAGTCATCTTGACTCTTCGACTTGCCACTGGATTAAAATAGACAAGGACAAGAGAGCATAGCTGTCACATTGCCCAACTCTCTCTCCCTTTAATCAAAATAAAGCAGAGGGCTGTTACCTCTCAATGTTTTCACAGACTCAAATATGACTGAAAAGCCACTGCACTCACTTTTGAATATAGCCTTGGTCATCTTCACATGCAACGACAAACTATTTCATGAGGACAAATCAATAGTCTATCTACTAGCACACCTATCAAACCTGGCTGCCAAAGACTTTATGCAGCTTTAAAAAAATTAAAATCTTCTTTATCCACAGTATTGTGTTAATTTTCAATGAAATGATTTTTTTATTTTGTATTTAATTTTGCTTTAGTGGATAAAGTGATATTTCAGATATTGCTACATAATAACATAGAGCAAACGCAAGAGGCCAACTCAATGACATAAAATTTGACTGACAAATAATTGAGGAGTCATTTTTTAATATTAAATACTGGTAGTTGAAACTATTGAGTTAGATGGAAATGTCAAATTTCCATATAAGGTTATGTCTAAAATTATGACTCTTTGCCATATATTTGATCTATAAAAGAAATATATTATGAGGTGATTAATTATTTTATTACATTCTTACCGATGTAAATTTATTATTATTTCTCCTGATAATTGTCATACAAGTTTAGACTTAACAAGAGTAATAAAAGATGCAGAGATTTACTATTATGTTTGGCATCAAACATCCCAAAGTTCTAACAAATATGTCATTTTAGGCCAGTTTGCAACTCTGATCCCCATTTCTTATGTACCGTACACCATTCTGTGTATATCCAGATGTCCTTAACCTGATGTGCACCATATGTCCATAACATATGTGCTCCAAATGTTCATATTCTGATGTGCACTGTATGTCCACCTCATTAAAACTTCTGATTTAAAATTGTAAAAATCTAACCTTACTCCAAAAAGTCACAGCCATTAAGTACCAACCTCAGGTTTTTAACATACTGATAAATTATTTTTATGTCTATTTGTACATTAACATAATATATCAATCCTAATTAGGGCATTATGTTGGTCTATGATATCACCAATGAAAAAAGCTTTGATAACATAAGGACATGGATCCGTAACATTGAAGAGGTGAGTACCTTGACTTATGTACCAGTAAAGAAAAGCTCTAACTTTGTAGATGTGAGTACCTTAATTATGTTGAGAAAAGCTCTAAAATTGAAGATGTTGAATTTACTTATGTACAGAACTGATCTACCATTGATGTTCTAAATGTCATAAACTGTTTAAGTAATTTGTGACCTTTATAAATTATGTCATTTATCAAATGTGACCTTGTTAAATTGTGCCGAAAGCCAAATGTGACCTAGATAAATGATCCCCTAAATTGTTACAGCATGCATCCAAAGATGTTGAGAAGATGATGTTGGGCAACAAATGTGATCTACAAGATAGACGGCAGGTCTCCAAAGACAGGGGAGAGCAGGTAGCTCAAAGAACTGATTTATCCATTAAAACTTTTACTTTTATCATATCTGTTACTTATACTTTATAAGGATTTTTTTATGACAGCGAGGAGTGTACAGTGTTATTGTATACTGTCACAGTTGCAGACCTGTTTACTCTTACGATTTTGGCGTACAATGTACGATTTTGAGATGTCTTTTACGATTGTACGCCGAGACCCGCCAAAACTACGATTTTCAGAGAGCCGGTGAAAAAAAAAAAATTCCGATTAAAATTCGTTTGTTGAAGTTTTAGCCTTTTCCAATAAAAATCTACTGGTGAATGGAATGAGAAAAACGATTGGTTGTAATTTTTTTTTAAAGTTGGGACCATCCTTCATTATATTAATGTGCGCACTGAGAGGGGAGGTGGGGGGGCTGTTAATGAAGGAGATTTGCGGCATGGGTGGGGGGTTGGTCGGAGTGCCAAAGGTTATAAAAATATCACCGCAGCGTATCGTATTGATGGCGATGATTGTCATAGTGTTGCTTTGTGTGTCACACTGAACTAGTTAGCTGCGTCACCGGTAATATTTATACTATTCACTGCCATCCCCTTTGACTGCCACCAAGCGTGTGACGTAGTTTTGTTCCCTTGAACCCAGAGGCGTAGCGATGGGGGGGGGGCGGGGGACAGATGTCCCCGGGATGTCCCCGGGTGCAAGCTAGTTAGGGGTGCCAAAATGTGATTTGATATATTATTGGTAAAAATAATGGGTTTTACAGTTGAAAAAAAGAAAAGGGGGCGCTTTAAAATGGATCTTGTCCCCGGGCGCGAATCTTGTCCCCGGGCACCAAACACCCTCGCTACGCCACTGCTTGAACCGCAGCAATTGTGAAAACGGAGAAAACTAGAGACGATACGGTTTTTACAATAAAATACATGATCACACTGTTCTGCACTGGAACGTTGGATGTGGACATATTTTATAAGAGCTTGCCAGCGGCATGTAAAAAAAAATATGTGTAGAACTAGCAAAGCAGCTCTTTACCTCAGCGATCGTAATACGACAGTTTGGTATCACTACTAATACTGCGCCCCCCCCCCCACCCCTTTTTTTAAAGGGAAAAAAATCAGACGACAGCTCATTTTTTTTCCCCAGTAATGAGTGAGTATTTTACGATATGGCGTCGACAAAAAGAAATGCACGCGAAACCGATGATGAAGAAGAAACGTCTACTTCTGCCGATAAACATCAGTTTCAACATAAGATAAAGAAAGTTTATATTCTTGCTTGGATATAAGACACAATCTACTGTGTTGAGGTCTTCATAGATGGGTCCATCATACGCGCACTGCACATTCTGCAAGTCAGACTTTTTAGTAGCAACCAGAGGCAAAATGAGTGATGTGGATTTAGGAGATAGTGTGTATGGCGCGGTTCTGAATATTTAAATCTATACATTCAACACCGCCATCCACATTTTCCTAATGTGAGGGGGGGTGGGGGTGGGGAGAGGATGTTCCTCGGCAGAAAGTACATGCGGTATTTAAAAATACTACAATATTCCTCCCGAAACTCTGAAAGTCCTAAAAAAGCACATTTCTATCTCGAATGCTGTAAAATACCAGACAATGTTTAGTAGGAATTACCGTCGTGATGTTGTCAAGATGTATTTTCACAAATGAACTCGCTAGCTATACCTAACTCAGTAGTGGAGAAATTACAGTAATGTTTTGTCCACCGAATGGTAAGGCCACGTGTTACGTATAATTCGGTGGGCTACGCCAGTGGTTCTAAAGTTTCGTTTCCTTGCGCCTATGCCACACTACGTTTTTGTCGAATTCTAAACATGTACAATTCGAAATAGCGAATTCACCAATAAAATAAGGTTTGGATAAAAATAAATATAACGTGTATGTAGGTCACTGAGCGCCATCTGGAACTGCAAACAACAATTGCTTAGTGGGTTACTGTTTGCACCACTACCGAAAGTTGTCACATTGGTTTGGATGAGGAAGCCGCGGCCACCGGATATATACAACGGATTTTGTTAAGTTTATGGGGGGGGGGGGGGGGGGGTTTCTTATTTTAATACATTTTATTTTATGCTTATCTGAAGTCAGGTTTGAACTTTCACCAGTGATTTTATTTTGACCTGCGACAGACTGGGATAATGTGATCAGCACGTTAACCCAAATAGTAATTGATATGTATTAGCAGATACACGTCTGCAAAACAAAGTGACCGCAGTTAACAGCTAACGTCAGTCATCTACTGTTTACCTACAGTTCCATATTTTGACGCCAGCTTAACTCGATTCCACTGAACACGCTATAGGAGGAGTTATTGTATACATTAAATGTACTGTATTTTTTATTTATTTACTATCAAAATACTGCATTGTACGATTTTGAGATGATATTGTACGATTTTAGGAGTTTGGGGGTAAACAGGTCTGCATTATGTCTGATCAGTGAGAGGATTTCTCTAGATTGAAAATCCATCACAGACTTACTTTGTTGCAATTATTCCAAATGGATTAAAATTAGGGGTGTGCCGGAATCCGGTTCCGCCGGATTTTGCACTATCCGGTGAAATCCGGTTCCGCCGGATTTACATGTATCCGGAACAACCGGAATCCGGAATATACCGGATTTCGGAATTTGCCAGATTTTGTGACTCACCGGATCATAATCTGAAATAAAAGTAATTCTCTTTCCC